GAGAGAGAGAGAGAGAGAGGGCTCCATGAACGCCAATATTTTCTGTTCTCCTAATATCCTTGTCAGCCTCCTTTGCATAAGCATACCAGGGCAGGATTTGTGCTGTGTTGTTTGTACACAATGCCACTAGAGGTCAGAGAAAGATTAATAATAGTTTTGCCACTGATCAGTACTGTTTGGGGTTGGATTTGGTCGGTGGGAACCAATGAGCTTTGCCTTTGATTGCTAGTTATGGTAGAAACCGGCAATTTGTATTCCCAGCAACAATCACATCAAAATGTTGCACAGGATTTACTAGTGACCTTGAAAATTAAAGAACTTACAGGGCTGATAAACTCGAGACTTGTGATGCCATCCAGTTGTTGAAGGCAGATTACACTTGGAGGAGGTCCATCATATTTCCAGCAGAGCAACTGCCCAGAGAAATGCTGCTACATCATATCTTCAGATAGAAGGCAAGCACATCAAGTCACTTGGGGTGGGGGGAGGACATGGATTGTTCAACTAACAATATTCTTCTCTCATATCTAACTAGCATAAAAAGAGGTTGCTGGGTCCCGATAGGCTCCCCTAACTACAGCAGTGCACTTGCATTTGGTGAGATAATTTCACTTTGCCTGCTAGTCAAGCACTCTCGTCTGGACAGAACTCTTCCCCGCCTGGAGAGCAGAGTCTGTTCCTATTATAAGTAACACCTCTTGGGGGCCTTCAGAGGGCAGCCACTTAGAATTCTCCAAAAAAAGAGGATAAAAGAGATACTGATTTGCATAAAGCTGCATACTAATGTATATCTACAGATGTAAAATTAGAAATGACTTCTATAATTTAAATAGAATTATAATGACTCTTGGCTCAAGTAGGGAAGCTGTTGATCTGTGTGCCTGCTGAGTTTGCTGTCTAAGTGCTCACCATGAATGGGTGACTGGAAGATCCCTGCTCTCCCTCCTTGTCTTTCTTGATTTTTAAATGGAAGGGAGCATGCTCTCCCTCAAAGAGTGCGTAGGGAAATCCCATCAAAGAACCAAGGGCCCTTCACATGGGCCCTTAGCCAAGAACAGGTAAGTGATGCAGAGTTGTGCAATGGTTAGAACATCAGATCAGGGATGGGGGGAGCCACAGTGAGTGATCTTAAGCTGATAACCATCTCTTAACAGACATTGTCTGAGACAATTGTTGTGAGAAATGATCAACTTCTTGGAGATAAGGAGGAGTGTAAGTGTAACAAACAAACAAATTCAGTTTCCTATATCTTAAAATGCCTTCTTCAGTATTGCCCTCCAGCTTGTTTTTCAATACCTGACTGAAGGGGACCAGGGAGTAGGTGCAACTGCCTGCTCCATCCAGGGAGAAAGAAGGTGTGTTATGAAACATTGTTCAAATGCATCTCCATCATCTGGTGAAAGAAACACAGTGACTCACCCAGCCCCCTAACTGGTTATATTATTTATACACATGTGTCCCCCTGCTGCCCCCTGCTGCTGTTTCTTTCATTCTTTTACACAACACC